AGAACCAGGATCTTGAAATGAACCCTGAAGTTGACTGGCAGCCAGTGAAGCTGGAGGAGATGCGGAATATGGTGTGTGTATTTCAGAAACACATCTTAGACTGAGAGACCATCTAAAGGCTCAGGAACCGTCTGCAGGTGTTTGGGCGTCACCAGCTGATCAGTGTGAGACGTTCGGAGTCTAGAATATTGAACCTTTTCACATGATTCTAATAGTCTGGCTTGGCGTGGAACGGGTCTGTCTCACGTAGCCTCGCTGTTGTAAATCAGGATCATCTCCTCTCCCTCAGATCGAAGAGGAGCTGGGTTCTCTTCAGAAGGAGCGAACTGACCGGATTAAACACCTTCTGGAGCGTCAGGAGCGGGAGATCGACAGCTTTGACATGGAGAGCATGCGGCTGGGCTTCAGTAACCTGGGCACCTTAGACTTTCCCAAGGACGACTACAGATGAGGAGGGCGAAGGTCTCCTGGACGTCCGTCTGCCTCAGAACACCGACCTGACCTGACCCAGCCCGACGGTGCCAGATTTCCCAGCTGCCGACGGCCACTCACTCACTCTCACACACACACACACACGCACGCCTCCAGAACGAGCGTTTCCGTGTGTTTTCTGGGCCGGTCACACGAGGTCAACGGCTGGTTTCAGAGCCCCCCCGCCCGCTCCTCTTCCCCTTGTGACATCACAAGATAATGAAAAACAAAAAAATGTAGTTGTCATGTTTTTTTAATGATGACTTAGTCCGTGTTTCTTGTTTCTTGTGCAATGAAAACACTTTTGGTGAGACTAGAAGTGGAGTCGATCTGGCAGAAGTGGCTCTGCGACCGTGCGTTTGCACACGTTTCTCTTTCCTTTTGGTTCTGTTTCTTTCAACTGAGCAAAAAATGTCTTGAAGCGATAAATCAAACAGCTGATCCTTCCGCAGCCGTTCGCCTCCGCTGCTCCTTTTCAACTCTTTCTGGTTTTTATTCATCGGGACGTTTTTAGGACAAACTTTGGATCATTTGATACTTTGAGAGACAAATTTGACGACACGTCCAGGTACGCAGATCATAACCGTGAGTTCTCCAGGTGGGTGTGGTTCCTGGAGGACAGTGGTACTCCACGTTGTGGTTTCACGTCGCTGCAGCAGATGTGAAAAATCAAATAATCCACCTGTGATGTGAGCTCCAGCTGGCACAAAGGGCTTCACGGTGGGGGGTCGGGGGGCGCGTGTAGATGGATTTATGGAGAGCTTTTACTTATTTTCATATTGTATTTTAACTATCTCACAAATCAAAGTGATTTTTAAAGATTGTTCTCCTCTTTTCAGTCTTTGGAGTCGTCATTATCAACTCTTTTTTTTTTTTTTTTTTTGCTTTACACAACCGTCGAGCTGTATTTTCTTATAAACCAGATCAGTATGATGCTTTATTATTGCATGCACTTTATTTTTTTCCAGGTTTAAAGAAAGCTTGAATCTGTCGGAGCTTTTAATTATATTTGTAAATAAAGTGCTCATCACACAAATCACAGACGTCCACTTCAGATGTGTCTCTTGGCCCCAGGAGGCCAAACTCCGAAATCTTAACTAAGATCAGTGTTTCACGCTGAGCCGATGTGGCCGGCTGTTGGAACGTTTACTCATTAAGTGGTGGTCAGAGGGGCCGACGGCGCCAAATGGCGGCCTCGCCTCTGTCAGACCTCCCCAGGGCGGCTGTGGCTACAAGTAGCTTATCATCACTAGCAGTGTGGGAATGTGAGAGTGTGTGAAAGCGTCTTTGGGTTTCTAGAAAAGCGCTATGTAAGTTCAGTGCATTATTATTATTATTAAGACTTTTGGAGACCAAGTCCTCTAGTTGCAGGACTGGGACGGTTAAATGAGGACACGGCACAACCAACCATAACTAAAGTTTGAGGATTTATTGCTGCACGCTCTTTGCAAAAACTTCGTATTTCTTAGTTTAATCTGCCTAAAATAAAAGTTACACAAACTAAATCCTAATAATCATATTTAAACGGTTCTGAATGACCCAGTCTGCAAAAAGTTTATCACAGGTGACTCATTCATGAAGCGCTTATGCAGAATTATGATGCAACAGTGGGAAAAAAAAACGTGTCTTGCTCCATTTTTATGTTTTGTTTTGGGGTGGGAAGTCCTAGAACCTGTTTAGTCTTTCCTGTTTTACTTCCCGGCCAGCTGCTCGTAGAGTTTAGGGACGTAATCGTCCCATTCCGCCTGGTAGCTGGTTCCGGCCACTGGCGCTCCCAGGTTGTACTTCTTCCTGAAGGTCTGGATCTTGAACTTGCCGCGGCCGTCTCCACAGCAGTTGGTGCGGACGGTCTCGGAGCAGGACAGACTTTCTGGCTGCTCGTACACCAGCCACACGTACCTGTGGAGACCTGACGGAGAACAAATGTCATTCATCAGTTTTAGAGGTTGAGAAGTCAGTCCTGAGATGTTGTGTCTCTTACCTGTGCCTTTAGGAGGGCCAGAGCCCACGTAGTCCGACAGGACATATCCAGAGGACACGTCATTCCCTTTCATGTTCACCACCAGAAAATGATGCCATTCCCTTCAATAAACCGGTAAAACGTGTCACGGGGTAATTCAGAACTGATCATAAGATTTATTAACACTTTTAGAAGGAGCAGCACATAAAAGGCTAACTCCAGTTTGAGTTTGGGAGCAAGATCCATCTCATCACCTGAACTTGGGGTCTTTCCTGCTGGGAGCGTCAGGATCCGTAAGGGCCAAGGTGTAAAGTTTACTTGGATCACATCCTTCCCATTCGATGCAGGTGGGTCGATTCTGCACCTGGAGAGGAGAACAAGGTTAAACTGCTTCTAGCACACATCTCCTCCTCTGAGCTGTGCTTTAATTTTCCTACTGACTGCAGAGATGTCAGAAACGGCCTTCCAAGTTTTTAATGCAGAAGGAATCCGCTTGGGGGCGCTCTAAGGCAACTATCATAGCTGCACACGTGCCGTAGGCATTATGTATCCACATCATAGCCGTTAAACATTCACACGCAGTCACCCAAATCAAAGTTGGTGCTATCTTGCAGAAATTAGTATTTCCGTTACGTTTAAAGCGCGTCTCTAAGGCTGGCATGGCTAACGTAACAACTAGCTAGCTGCGTTGTTAGCTAAAGTAACAACTAGCTAGCTGCGTTGTTAGCTAGCTCCTAACCTGTGTTGGAGTGAGCACTTCGCCGAGCTCGTTGATCTCCACAGAACCGTATTTAACGGTCAAGGGTTTCGCAGGTTCTTCCTCCACTTCCTGCAGGGCGAGCGGACCGCACCACTGGCTCACATCAGCGGGCATCTTCGCGGCTAGATCAGACGCTGACCGACTGGTGCTTCAAACAAACCCCAAATCCTGGAGTGCTGCGTTCAAGTACTGCCTGAAAATAGGTTGCTAGTAGTTCGCGTTAAGTGAAATTCAAGCGGACAATAAAGCATTTAGACATAAATTTAAGAATAAAAATTAATTTTAAAGACAGTTTAATCGTGGTTATCGTGTAATTTAAATTAAAAGACAAACACACCAATAAGTGATGTTTCTTGTGCTTGAAATATTGCAAGAAGCTGTTATTTCCAACAAATGCCTGAGCATTTAAACTGCACAAACAACAACATGGAACCACTAGAGGGCGCTGTTAAATAAAAACCACATGGCATTTGATTTGCTAAAAGGTCTGTCAATCAAATCGCATGTTCATAATACGGCCTCCCCTCGTCTGCGCCACTGACACACTTTCTATTTTCAGACAGCCTTGTTTAGAGAAAGATCTGAAAATTAAACATTCTCTGCTGCTGCGAGAGTCTTAAAGGGATACTATGCAACTTTTTCATATTTTCAAAACATTTTATTGAGCTAGTGTGTGTTAAAATGACCCTTTACATGGTTAATGAAATGTCATTCAGATTCCGACCGTCCTCTGTTTCCAGAATATCGCATTTGCAACTTCAGAGTGCTGTAACACCTGTACCTGTTACCTGTAAAATTGATTTGACCACAGATAATTGACAACAGTCACTAGGAGGTGCTAAAAGCAAGCAAAACTGTCAAGAGTGTCTTTAACAAGAGCCAATAACCCCTGTTCTTAAATCTGGCTACCAGGAAACTACAGAATCTTTTTAAAGTGGTTCTGTTATTGTAAATCAGTGACAAAAATACAAATAACAGAATTTTAAAAATCCTCAGTTGGGGCATTTTGGTATGACGGATCTCCTTGCAATTCATACACCCAGCAGGGTTGTTTGATTCTTAGGAAACCCTGGAAAAGTTCTGTATTTTATACTTTATGCTGATTCTCGACAACAGGTGAAGTTCTAAAATAATTGCTCAGATCTTCTTGTCTATCTCGGTCTGTAAGTTAGGGCGTCTGAGATTAAGAGTTAGATCTATTGGTTAGAGTATCTAATGAGACATGAATACATTTCTACCTAAAATGTGCTCTTGGAGGCGTTTTTTCTATATTTACGCATCCCTTTCATTGTTGAACAAAATGATGTTACTGTACCTTTAAGAAGGTGAACTCCAGGGTGTGGTTTATGCCGGGAAACGTTTCCGGAACAACAGAATCTAAACCTGTGTTGTTTCTCGCAACTTAATCAGGAGCGAAACTTAATTCTAAACTTGTCTCAGATAGACGTGGCTCCGCGTCAGAGAGGTCACCTCTGTCGGGCGCGTGAATGAACATGGGCATACAGGTGTCGTGTGCCTCGGTGCGTCACAGGTAGGCGCGCGCTCAGCCCCGGGGGAACCAGCCCGACGTGTTTGGGCCAGCTTTAGTTAAGCTTTTGTTCCGAGGGCGATGAGGGGAAGTTAACATGAAGATAATCGCAACTGTAGCGCTTCTACAGCTGTGTTTGTCAGCTACAGGTGAGTGTTCGCGTCACAGGTAAGATTATAAATCACGCCATCGTGTTAAAAAGATGCATTTTTCCTCGTCCAAACTTCAGTTTCAGACAACGTCTCCACCGAAACTGTCCAGACAGCGGAACCGGGAGTTCTCGTTCGTATTCCGTGTAATTCTACAACACCTGCTTCGGTCAGGTGGACGAAGGACGGACACGACGTCCGCCCGGAGACTGCCGATGGGCGTCTGGCCGTGCTGCAAAACGGGAGTCTAGAGATCAGACGGATGGGACGGGATGATGAGGGCATCTACCTGTGCAGCTCCACTCTACCTGACAGCGACTTCCGGGCACGTGTACAGCTGCGGATGGCCAGTAAGTGGATAGAAGTCCAGTTAGTGTCCAGGGTGAGGTCACTGGGTGTAGCTTTTTGAAAAACTGGTTTCCAAACTCGTTTTACAGCCAAACTGACAAGTCACGTGACAGCAGGTGCTGGGAGTTGATTTCTTCTCCTTTTTTCGTTTAAATCAGCATATCCCTCTGAAATGGGCTCATTGAATGTGATTTGACTTGTGATTGCAAACTGAAACCAGTTGTAACATGGCGCGCTTGTTTATTTCAGGTGGACCAAAGGATCTGTCTACCCTCGTCTTTCCTGTCATTAGTCTCTCTAATGGGACACTAGTTGCAAATCGGGGCGCCTTCATTCACTTTCGGTGCTCTGCATCATCTGAGCCGTCTCAGCGGCTGACCTGGACCTTTAGCGGAGCTCCATCCAACAACACGCTGATCTCTACCTCACAGACCTCGCTGGAGTACTGGATAAAGAGCATCCAGCCTGGCGATCAAGGAGTTTACACCTGCGGTGCCATCAACACCGTCTCCAACCAGACAGTCAATAAGAGCTCAGAGTTGCTGGTGTACTGTAAGTAGTCTGCTGTACCTGCTGGTTTAATGCTGAGCACGCTCAAAGCAACATTTGACTGGCTGACCCTGTTCTATGGCATAAATCTGTATTTCCCTTAAGTCCCTCCCCAGGCGTCTACGTCCAAACAAATCATTCACACGAGCACAATCGGGCATCCACAGGACTGAGTCGCCACCTAACGAGAATGCGCTCCAGGTCCCAGCGTGCACTTAAGAGTGACGCAGACGTCTGTCAGTTTAGCACACCAACCTAGCTTGAATGCTAACTCGACCCGCATTCAATTAATGTCAGTGGGAAGGGAACTAAAAGGTATTTACCTTTTGTGTGTGGGAGCCAGAGGAGAGGTGAGCAGAAAACAGCAGCATTTGCAGTCTTACTCATTATTATTCATGACATTCGGACATCTCTCCTCTGATTGGCTAACAGCGCTATGACTCTACCACTGACTCCGTTTGCTTTTCAATGTTGATGTTTTATCCCCATAAATAACACAAGCCTCAAGGAGTTCTGCCATGTGTTGGTTTTCTAATGCTAACAGTTAGCTTCTACTAGCACAAACGTGCTCTACTCTCTCCTGGATGCTAAATTAACAACGGCCTTCCTCGCCGCGAGCCAAGATGGTTGAGTCCGTGAATGCTAATTTAGGAGTGTGACGTGGAATTGACTGGCTTTTCTAATCCGAGCGTGTCCTCGTCTATTTTCTGTCGGTGGCTAATGCAGGAAATAGGGGTAGGTTATTTTTGCATTTAGCGTGCAGGTTAAACTCGGTGACCAATCATTTTACAGATATAACAAGTAAAAACATTTTTTCAGTGAACTCTGTTCTTAAAGTGCACTGGCAGGTCAAGAGAATATTGGTGATCATCAGCTTCAATTCATGAAAATTCCAGCCAGTTTCTGGGTATTTAATTTTCCTTGCATGAAGATAAAACAGGCAAATTTATCACCTACTATGCAAAATCTGAAAGGAAATATAATTAAAAATAAACATTTATGAGAAGTTACGGACTTTGGTTCATTGGCTTAATTGGTGACTGGCCAATCTGAAGTTCAAAAATCCGATATTTCGAGTGTGTGAGTGCAGCAGTTTCAAGCAGGTCAGTAAACACCGTATCTCTTATTCACTCTAATGATTTTTTAATATGCCATGTTTGTACTTCTTGAATCATTATTTAGGTGAATAAAAAGTATTTTTAGTTCCAATAACTGAGGTCACAGGGGAACTAGTCAGTTTTGGCTTGCTTCTAGCACCCCCTGGTGTCCGTATGTAAAATTGAAAGCTAAACCTATCTCCTTGCGGCGCATCAGTAAAGTCTCCCCAGCTTTTCTCGGTGTCTACCAGATCGGTTCATCTCTAAATTAAACAAATCAGCTGTGTTCATGATCTAAAACATGCAGGAAACGTGCTGGAAGCAAACTGCAGCGTCGGGTATGTCGGTCCCAGCAGCGGACTGGCAGGCTGAAGTTGCAGTTAGAATATTCTGGCCACAGGGGGGCGATAGGGACTGGGTGGACTTTCATTAACCCTGTAAAGGGTTTAACCAGAATAGGTTTTTTATAATGGGTTTTTAAGTCAAGATAGCACAAGGTTCAGAAATTGGTATCAGGCCTCCAAACCTGAATCAGTGCACCTCCTGGAAAAAACCAAACAGCTGTTGAACATAAATTAATGATCTATAGAAAATATTTTGAGATACTTAAAGGTCGTTGATTAAATACTTTCGTCTGATTCGCTTCCTAATAAAAAATCACAATCTGCCCGGTCAGGTCTTGTTTAGGCGATGAAAGATTCTTTGAAATGATCAAGATGCAACTTTGGTTTCTAACTTCCTGCAATTGTTCACGATGAAGGAAGTCTCCGTGTGTTCATTCCACTACGCTGTTTAACTCTGTGTGTGTGTCCAGTAGACATGTTGCATGCAGATGAGCCAAGCTGAACTTAAACAAGTCTGGTTTTTAATCTGTAATCCTGCTGATGTTTCTGCCTTGACCAGATTTACCACCGACGCACCCCGACTGCATGTGGATCCCAACACCAGACTTGTCCTTCATCCAGCTCAACTGCTCCTGGCCTGGAATGTATCCCACCCCCAAGCTGAGCTGGGGTCAAAAGGATGACGTCCAGGAGACGAATAACCTCTCCGTGATGCTGAATAGCTCCTTGGTGCAGAACGAGAAGATAATGGAGAAGAAGTTCACGTGCACGGCTCAGCATGCACTCCTCCCTGCCAGAGATGTGAGGTCGTGTTCGATTATACTCAGTAAGTCTGTAATGTGATCATTATGTTTTATTATTTAATTTTTAATGTACCCCGTGTTTCTAGCTTCACTCAAAGTTTTAGTTTAGCAAATTTCAAAATAAAAGCATCATCTCGCTGGGCTGGTGTGACGACGTTCTTTTGCGGGTTACCGAAACCTCCGAGTTGGTTCCAGCACGAGTCGCAGGCCGTGCTTCTCATGTCGTTGGAATTTAAAACATTTAAAAAGAATGAATGACAAATTTCCCTTTTATGGTCACAAAGTAATCTGGAACGTCTCGAACTCATTTCCGTCTGTTTCTGATTTTCAAAGTGCGGTCGTGTGAGACAGGAAATACAAATGCATCGAATGTTTCCATACAAACCCTTTTACTCCTCAGAAATGTCATATGTTTAAATTCCAAGTTCAAATCTGCACGTTTAATTCCACATTTTGACATTTTTTCAACAGTCCCAGCCGAGTGAGACATAAGCTTCAATTCAATTCAGTTCAATTCAAAAATACTTTATTGATTCCAGAGGGAAACTGATTGCTGTAGTAGCTCAGAATAATAATAATAATCAAGTCATCAAAGAGGTGTTGTATATTACAATGGCTGTTGGCAGGAAGGATCTCCAGTAGCGGTCAGTGTTGCAGCCAAACTGAAGAAGCCTCTGACTGAAGACACTCTTCCGTTGTCGGACAGTCTTGTGAAGAGAATGCTCAGGGTTGTCCATCAGTTTCTTGATTCTCTGGAGAATCCTTCTTTGCATTGTCTCCTCCAGCGGTTCAGAAACTGCCGATGCTCTGGCTGAGTCCTTGAAAGGGCTTGGAGTTCCTCCATCTTGTTGGCCAGTGATCTCACATCGCCCATTATGATCGATGGAAGAGATGGTTTGAATTTCCTCTTTCTCTGTCTCCGTTTTGCTCCCGCTCTGCACCCACGCTTCTTGCGTTTTAGCTCATTTGGGATTTGTGGCTTCAGTTGAGGTATTATTTCAGCCTTTCCAACGTTAATCAGCTGCTCCCGATTGCAAACCAGCTTGTTGCCATGGTTACGCATCATAACAAATGCTCAAAAAGTGAAAACAGCTAAAAATAAAATAGCAGTAAAAATCCTCCAAGCTTCACAGCACCAGAAACAGAAAAGTAAAGTGTCCAAAAAATACAGTTTTTATTGAGAAACTAGAAGAAAAAATGTCCAAGAAAAGACAAAACTTACATATAGTCAACAGAGCTACTCCAACATGCAGCCACCCAGGGCAGCGCAGTTCCGGGAAGATTTGGAAAATATCTCCAGTTAATTGAAACTACCATCAAAAGTGCATCATCTAGATTAAAATTCCCAAATCCTCACGCGTGCAGAATTCCTGCAGACGTGTGTTTGGGTTGCGGCGCCGTTTCGGTGCGTTAAAACAAACGTCGACGCTCTCTTAATACCCGCGTACCCCTGCCCTTCTGGCAACGTCAGATGTTTTTAGAGTTGAAGAACGAGCCAGGAAGCGCGTTATCAGCTGTTCTCCTGTGTCACGTTCTGACGTCGTCCCTCAGGAGGAAAGTGATGTCGTAAGCACAAAATGTCTGTTTGGACAAAGTCATTTCTTCTGGTGAAGGACTGAAAACACAACTTCTCAGAAGACATTCACATGTCTCCAGAAGTGGTATGTAAGCATCTTTCACAGGAAAATGAATCTCCGGGACAAAACAAATCCTTTCTCTACTAAACGAACAGATGTCCGTGTTTAGTGTTCCTCCCGCTGTTCGTCTGATCTGCTTCAGCGTTGGTAGGCGTGCTGCAGGACACCCGATGAAAACCACAAACGCACTTAATTTGGTCGAAAAGCAGTTTGAGCTTCTGCTGACGGTCGGGTCGATGACCGGAGGAGGAGACGGGTGGGTCTATTAGGAGAATTTCATTGTTCTTTTATCATCTCTGGTGCTGCAGACTTTATGAAATAGCGACACAAACATTTCACATAGTAGCCGGACGGGTTTATTAACGTTTCCATGTGTAAAATCTTTAGCTGGAACGTTGTTAACGGGCATGGAAAAGTGCTTTAAGCTAACTTGTTTTCCAAATTTGTTTTTGTAGATTTTAATTCAGAGTTCAAAAGCTGATCCAGGTTCAGAGGTGTTGTGCATTCCCTGTTGTTGTTGTTGTTGTTGTTGTTGTTGTGGTGACATTTTAGCAAGCGGATGATGCCAAAATTTTCTGGAAATCGGCTCAGAACAGCTGCAGCACACGCCGGCCATCGGCTGACCATGACTGCTAGATATTGGTTATAGAAAAATCCACATCGGTGCATCTCCAGTTCTGAGTGTGTACCAAGACTTGGGGTTGAATGTTTTAAATCTGACTGAAGATGCACCAAAATACTTCCTGGTGTTTGAAATCATCCAGAATTCAGGAGTTCATCGGTTATGAAACTCAAAACTCACATCACTGCCGAGCAGTAGTGAGAAATCCGGTGTTTCTCCTGGTCTGTGAACCTACCTTGCCTAAGCTTTAACTGAAGCAGTAGCAGATCTTTCAAGTGGAAAATTTAAGCATCTATTTAATTAATTTTTGTTGTACTTTGTGGATTATTTAAACGTTGCAAAGGAGAAAGAAATTCTCCCAAAACATTTGTGAATCTCCACGCGGCTCGCCGTGAGCGTTCGGAGGTCTGTAGCAGCTCTGACGAGGAAAACAACGTTTAGAAAGTGTCGGCTGCGCTTGAACTAAGCCACAAAATCAGCAGAAAACTATTTGTCCTGAAACTGAAACACTATCATGCCTAAGGTGCTGAGAAAATGTTGACTAGGAGAAGACGATGACTAATGCATAGTTTACATGGTGATGAAACGGGCCTCCTCCCCGTCAGGTGACAGCCTCTCGGTCACGATGCTCTGAAATGAACTGATACTAAAATAATCTAAGCTGGTGTCATTCACATGAAGTTCAGAATGAATACAAGTTTCAGAAGAAGGATTACAGGTCTAATGCATTATTATTCATGATATGCAAACGCCTCAGCTCTGATTGGTTAACAGTAAAACGACTCGTGAGCTGGTTTTTGTTCGATCTCCTTTGGGTTAAAAATGCACATTTTCCCAGTGACTTCGAAGCCCGGCCTGCCAGACTCCTCCTCTGTTTAATTCTGCACAGAGAACGGCTCTGGGAACTCTCCTATTCAGATAACCCCGCCCCCTGAGAATTCTAACCGAGCCAATCAGCGCTGAGTATCGTACGTCACACACCACAACGCCGAGTTTGTCATAAACATGGCGACTGAAGCGGAGTTCGCTGCGGCTCTTTCCTCTGCTCTAAATAACTCAGATGTCTTTGAAACCGCAACAAGTAGAAGCGCTAAAAGCATTTCTTCTAAACAAAGACGTTTGCGCTGTCGCCAGACGCCATTTTTACTACAGCTAAAGAACGACAGCGTCGCGGACGTCACACACAGCGACGCTCGGTTTCTCATGAACAGCGAAGACGGCGGCGGAGTTCACTGCGACTCGTTCCTCTGCCCTAAATGACCCAGATGTCTTTAAAACTACAACAAGTAGAAGCGCTAAAAGCATTTCTTCTAAAAACACAAAAGACGTTTGCGCCGTTGCCAGACGCTATTTTTTTTACTACAACCAGAAATCTACCTCGTCGTGTGGTTCAGTCAGGATTTCTGTCTTTTTTCTGATTGGTCATTTGTGAGCTTCCTAGTCCCGCCCCTCCTGTGCCTCTCTGCCTGTGAATGACCAGACTCCCTCAGTGCAGGATTAAACAGAGGACGAGTCTGGCAGGCCAGGCTAGTGACTAGAGCCGTGCAGCTTTTCCTGACCTGATTGTTTTCCCGTCTAATGCCGGAGACGAACCTCAGTCCAGCATGCGTGTGCAAGCCAGAGTGATCGTATGTAAAAGAAGAAACACGTTACACAGTTTCTCAGTGAAGGAGAGGGCTCATTGGTGTTATCCTTTATTTTCTCTCTACAGCCAATTAAAACAACCTTTATTTTCCACGTAAGTTGTAGTTGAGGAAGGATGTGAAATAATTTTACTGTTTTTCCTCAGAGGCTCCATATCCTGTTGGCAAACCGATGGCCGTGGCTCTGGAGGGGTCCAACGTAACTCTGAGCTGCACCGAGGTCACGTCCGTCCCCACCGCTAACACCACGTGGAGAAAAGGGCTCCTGCAAGCCCTCATCACTCCAGGATCTAAGTACATCCTGTCTGGGAACACTGCCGTCTTCCTGCTGACCATCACCAACACCAGCAAGGACGACGAAGACGTCTACTTCTGCCGCAGCGAGAACCAGTTTGGAGTTGTGGAGCTGCAAGTGCAGCTCTCTGTGAAGTGTGAGTTGGTGATCAGAGCTGAGGGCTAGCGTTAGCGTGTAGCAGCGGTAAACAGAAGGCTGTAGACGTAGTGAGGTGTGATCCGGCTTTGGCTCCACGCCTAGAATGCTGATAAACCTGCTGCTCCACCCTCTTCCGTCTTCTAAATCCCGTCTTCTTCTCTTTCTCTCAGCATCATCCTCTGCTTATGTCGGAGGGGTCATCGGTGTCTTCATATCGTTTCTGATCGTTGGCTCAGCGATAATCATAGCTAGAGTCCTGTACTCCAGGAGACACCAGATCTGCCTGGGTAACGTAAAATTACGTCATTTAACATCGTAAATAAAGACTTTTTAAACATTGAAATTAAATATGAAGCACCTGATCTGTCATCGATACGAGCTGCATAAGCACACTGACTGTATAATCTCCCGTTTTCATTTCAGGCGGTGGATTATGGTGAGTAGCTTCTTGATTTTTATTTTATCATTTGCTTCATCTTAAGGTGCAATATGTAAGAATTTTACAGTAAAATAATCACAAAACTGTCATGCTGGCAGGAAGGTGACATTAAAACAGCGTTTCTCCTTTTAAAAGAGCTACAGTTTGTTTACAAGGACTGCAGCGTCAGCGTGTGTGAAGGACACAAATGTCGGTAATAGTGTGGGTTGTTGATGCGCCCGGGCTGCTCGGCCAGGGGGAGGTCCCTTTGGCTGACTGGTGAGCACGCGTGACTCTCACCCGGGAGTCTGGGACCGAATGCCACCCAGGCCCTCGTCTCTCCACCTTGCCACAGTAGCATTAGCATCAAATTTTCTTTTTCCATTTTTACTGAACTTTATCTTTTGCAAACGTTTTTGTTTTTTTAATCTGCACAAAATGGGGAATTTTCAAAAATGCAAAAGGCTGGAGACCAAAGGTAGGTGGGTAGAGCCCTGCACGGGCCTAAAATCTGAGACCGTGTCCGGCCCGGCCCGAGGGGGTGGAGCCCCAGCCCGACCCGGTCCGAAAAGGTTTTCAGGATTCTCTGACCTGACCTGACCCGAGCCCGACTTTTTTTAACCTTTCATAATGTTTTAGCGCGATAGGATGCTCAGCGTTCTGATTATCTGCGAGAAGCGTTCTGCAGTAAAAAAATAAAATAAAAAGGAAAGAAGAACAGCTCAATGCAGCTTTTTTTCTAACAGAGCGTATTTTTCGAGCGGCAGATGAAATTTACGAACACCGTATTAATTGGATGCGTTTGTAAATTTAATCTGCTCTGAAAATGCGCTCGTGTGCAATTAGAAAAATAAGCAGCGTTCTAATTTTCTAACTGCAGAGCGAATTTATTCACAGAGAAATAGAATGCTGCTGTTTTCATGAGAATAAAGGAACGGTTTCTGACATCAAAGTGGACATAAAACGGCATATTAGAACAGGGGCACATGTTTCAATCAGCTGTTTGAGAATTTGTTTATATAGGCGCATTTATAAACCACACACACCTTAACTGAGCTAACGGTGTGTGAGAAGCAGGCAGGTGCTGCTGCGTTCAAGTGTTTCAGTTTTTTATTTAATGAATTCGATTAAAAATAAAGGCGCCCCGGCCCGACCCGTGTCCGAGGTAATTACAGTCGTTGGCCCGAAGCCCGGCCCTCGGGCTGGGCTGACCCCTGGGCCTAGGGCTCCAGTGCCGGGCTCTAAAGGTAGGCAACCCTGGTCCTATGTGCCATTCCCTTCTGTACCTGGTCGGCCCGGCCCGGATAGCTCCAGTCGGCCTCAGCGTGGCCCGGTTGATTCCACACATCCTTGCTTAGATATGCAAGGCATGCAGTCAGAGACATTTTCAGCTTCTAGGTAATCAGTATGGTAATGAACGGTAATGAATTGAGCATGCCTGTGGGCTGATTCTACCCACCAATCAGAGGCTTGCTCTAATGGAAGGTGTGAATTTGCTGTCAGCAGTGGGTGTGTTGGCCCTGGTCAGCTTGGAGCAGACCACCTCAGAAAGAGGGCTGAAAAACGGCAGACCACCAAGATATGTAAGCGAGCTGTGCTATCCGGGCCGGGCCGACCAGGTTCAGATGGGAATGGCCCGTTAGAGAGCTGCAGTCCTGCATGTTTTCCAGCCGTGCATGAACGTGCAGCTTTTAATTGGCTGAACACACCTGATCCAGGTAATCAACAGCAGGAACAACATAGATGGTTGGAAAACAAGCAGGACTGTGGCTCTCTAGGATCAGGGTTGCCCACCCCTGCTGTAGACTGATGATGATGCTGCTGTAATTTTCCATCCCAGTTTAATTATAGAACACTGTTAGGAACAACAACAAAGCCGGACCAAAGTAGAAGCACCGGGCAAAGGGTAAACACTAGACGTACCACAGGGAAAAAGCAATGAAACAATTTAAAAACCAAAATAAAATTGCAGTTGAGGTCATTTTTATTGTCTTAAACAACAGGAAGTGATGCAGCCCGTCTATCATGCAGAGGAAAATCCTTTCAGAGCTTTAGACCTGCAACAGAATACGGCTCTAACACCTTTTATCGTGTTTTTGGAACCAATAATCTGGTCTGCTGACCTCAGAGGGCAGGGCGGGACGTGTGGCTGCAGCAGAGCAGACATACGAATGAAGTCGTGTGTGAACGGACGCCAGAACTGGTGAAAGGTGTTCTCTTTTTCCTGCAGCGGTTAAAGATGGAGCTGCAGCGTTTGTAAGTGAGCAGCAGCAGCCTCCCAAACAGGAGCCCGCTGCAATAGTCAAGCTGAGATGTTCTCAAGTTTCCTTTTAGACGGGATGTGCTTGCTTTTAAACGGCCGCCTGAGCGCATAGAAGACCGACTCCTCCGTTGTGTTAACGTGATTGTCCAGTTTCAGCAAAGAGAGGAAGGCTAGGCAGGAGTTCCTGCTGCTGCCATGAACAGCATAACTGCAGTGAGTCAGGGAGGGGTTGGAATGAACACAAGCCAGTTTGTTTCAGAGGATCTGACAATCATCTGAATGTTTTCTTTTAAAAACTAAACGCCAGATTCCAGCTTTCCATTTTGGCAAGGTGTCATTCGCATTTTCTTGGGTGTGTGCTGAAGTCCTCGGGTTGTAACTCATGGAAAATTTGGGTAGCTGGTTGAAAGATAAAGGGTGTGTCCGAATCCACGGGCGGGATGCTTACGAGTGCGGGTCTTCGCCGGTCTAGACCGCTGAGACCAGAACCCAGCGGCTCTGAATTCAGTCAGTCTAGCCTTCACCTCCACAGTGGCCCGTAGGTCCCGTCACAGCCGTGGATTTCTGCCTAAAATGTAATTTAAAAAACAAACAAACAAAAAATGTCTATAAACGGAACCGCTTTAAACTTTTTAGGTTTCTACGGCTAGTTTTTAACAAACTTACGTTTAAAACTTCGTAGCTCTCCCCATTTTCTCTGCCTGTTGAAAATCCACAGCCGGCGCGCAAAGCATGCTGGGATAGCCTTGTTCTGTGAGGATACAACAGACCCGTCCTCGAAATGTGGGCGGAGTGAGGACGCGTGTGAGGACGTGAGAATGAGTATTCTTGGAATTCGGACAGTACTCGTCGCTGCGCTGTGACGTCATCGACCTTAAAATGCACTCTTGCAAGCATCCTTCCCGTGGATTCGGACACCCATAGTGTTTAAGTGTTCAAATTCAATTCAAATTCAAAAATACTTGATTTATCTCAGAGGTAAATTGATTTACTAGCTTGTCGCCACGGTTACGCATCATAACAAATGCTCAAAAAGTGAAAAAATAGCAGTCAAAATCCTCTAAGCTTCACAGCACCGGAAACAGAAAAGTAAAATGTCCAGAAAAACAGTTTTTCTTAAGACACTAGAAGAAAAAATGTCCCAAAAAGGCAACACGTACATGTAGGGATGGGTACCGAATTCGGTACTTTTTAAGGTACCGACCAAATTCCATAGTACCGACTGAGCACCATTCACGTCATTTGAAACGGTGCCTCGTTTCGGTACCCGTCCTTCACAACGAGAACTTGCCTAGACAGCTGCGCATGCACAAGAGCGTTATGTCGTCGGTCGCTGTGAGCCAGTTGTAAACAGAGCAGCATGGTAGAAAGAACGCACGCTAAAGCTTGGGTCCACTTCACTAAATGTGATGGGTAACTGGGTGATGATGAAACCAGCGACAACGATCTAAGTGAGACATCCTCATCTTAATCTGCTCCGGTAGGTAAATAAAATGTTTAAGATAACGTTAGCTTGATATGTTAGCTTCCGTTCCGCTAATGGTGCGTTCGCTTTCTCCTCGGAACTCCGATTTTACGACTAGAAGAACATGAACGCGCTCTAAAGTTTGGCTTCACTTTACTAAATGCGATGGGTGATTGGGTGAAGATGAAACCAGCGACAACGATCTAAGTGTGAGGCATCATCGTTTTAATCTGCTCCAGCAGCTAAATAAACTGTTTAAGATATCGTTAGCTTGGTATGTTAGCTTCCATTGCCACCGTTGTTATCAGCTAATGGTGCATTCGCTTTCTCCTCGGAAATTCTAACTTCCCAGTAGGAAAAATCAAATGAAAAAGGACGGCAAAAGGAATGAAGATACACAGTAAATTTAGTTCACAGTAAAGATGTTTGCTTCAGTTTAATTATCAGCTTATAAAACTACAAGGACGATGTTAAAATACAAACAGTTGAATGTTATTTATCGTGATATTTATCAAATATTGTTATATATTGAGAAAAAATATATATTTAATTACAAAAGAGAATTAAAATGTTAAACACTCAAAAGTATTGAAAATTGGTACCGTTAAGTACCGGTATCGATTCCTAGGTACCGGGTATTAGTACCTAATCAATTCAAATGTCAAAGGTACCCATCCCTACTTACATGTAGTTAAAGAGCTACTCCAACATGCAGCCACCCAGAGCAGCGCAAAAATTGGAAAGGGTTGATTATCTTTGATGTTCAACTCCTCACCATTTTAATGGGTTTTATGTTTTGTATCTTAATTATTTTTGTACTCTCACTTATGTTGTGCAGCAGTAGGGAATGCTGGTGTGACTTGTGCTTGACTTGTGAATGTCGTTTCATGGCCAGGTCACTCTTGTAAAAGAGGTCTAGAGTGGGTTTTATCTGGCTAAATAAAGGTGAATGAAATGGAGGAAGTGTGTTTACAAAACCTGAGCCCAGCAGCAGGTATAAAGGGAACAGGGGAGGTCCGAGAACAGAACCTTGTGGTACCCCAGCAAAAAGCTGCAGAATTGGAGATAAATTCCCCCAATGGCCACTCCTGTTAGAGAGACAGGGTCATGCACACATGATGGGAGTGGTTCCTTCTTTATCTCTCCTGCTCAGACATCAGCTGTCAGGATGTGCATTTGGACTGGTGTTGCCATGTTGGTCTCGACTTGAAATGCATACTAAAGTTGGCTTCGCAGAAAAGAATTGAGGAACACTGTTATAGTGGATGGGTGTGTATCCATCTGCTGCGTAACTGATGCATTTTGGACGTGTTCCAGAAGCTTATTGTCAGTAGCGTCGTCCATCCACGCACTGCATAGGGCCCCGCGATCCATTGGGGGGCGGATCCTGCGCAAGAGGACATATTCTCTTGCGTGAGGCGCTCTGCGTGCTGAGCAAATCACACACACACACACATTTTTATGATGGTTTATTATGGGGGGCCTCTAAATAAGTTGCCTAGGGCCCCCATGTGGCAGGAGGCCTGATTGTCGCTCCACAAAATTGTTTTTACGCACTAGTCTTCCAGAATGCACCGAGCTCTGCCGGTCAGATGGGAACGGACGGGGAGAGCCGTGTAAAACGTCCGTAAATGTTTAGAATAAACGCAAACAAATGACATCACTTCCTCTGACACCTCCGTAGCCGAGGCAAGCGCACCAGGAAATAAATCCGACCTTTTTGGATACATGCTGCTGGTTGTTACAGCGTGTGCTTACTAAATCATGCAGGATCTTGCCATTCTCTGGTGATCTTGCAGGAACGCTTTCGCCTCCCAGTAGGAAACCCTCCCAGTGGGAAGAGTTGTGCTGCTGAGCAAACGGGGAAAAGGCGTCTGTGACGTTACGGCTGACAGAGCCCTGAAATGTGAACCTGTGCTGTTTGCTCTTTCGTTTCGGTGTAAAACGAGGCTCGGGGATTCTAATCACGCGTCCTGACCCGAAAATGCTCCCTGGTTTCTGTCCTGTAGGGGCGATGAGAGAGGAGATGTGCTGAGTCTGGTGGAATCGGACGATGAGCATTTCTTTCAGGACACCGTCCCCCAGTTGCGCACGGAGGCCAACGGCCGCCGCACAACGCTCGTGGAAGTCCACCGTATCCCCTCCAGTAGGATCCTGACGTTTTACCGTTGTTCTCCTCTCCGAGGTGTTTTAGATAAAATAACCAAGTTTTGCTGTTTCAGGTGATCACGAGGAGACGGGAACCGCTGAGAAAAAGCCTCAGCAGCCAGAAGAAACCCAACAAACAGAGGATCTGGTGCCAATTTAGGTGCTGGGTGTTTTTAGATCAATGTGCCTTTTATTTTATTATTTTTTACGTTTCTGAACAGCTTGACCCTGTTTTGCACCGATCCTGTGATGCATATCCTGTAAATAACGTCTGACACTGAAAGCAAAACCAATCGCCTGATCTAGGGTGAACGTTTTTCTGCTGCTGTTGTTCCAGCTGGTTAATCTTTTAAATCCTTTAATGTGTAAAAACAAAGCTCAGACTTTTTAAACTGTGATGGTTTCTTTACCTCATGTCAGAGATACGTGTATATTTGGAATTCTGTGAGAAATAAAAGTTAGCAGACTTAATTACTGAAAAACTAGTATGAAGATTTAGGCATTTTTATGATTTTGGGGGAATTTAATGTTTCAGCTTGATGTGATTTAATTTCATTTTAATAAATAAGTCTGACAGAAATCAAGTTTTCTGACTTCTGTGTGCCAAAAGCACAAAATGCACATTTGCTGACGACTTTAATTATTTTTATGGTATTTTAAAGGAATATTATGCGTATTTTATATATAAAAGTATATTTAAAGAGCAAGTCACCCCCTACCAGAGTATTACTCCACTCTCGCTTCCTGTTTGAAAAATGCAACAAATGCTGTTGTCTAGCAGACTGAGAGGGCGGAGCCGCTAACAAATACACACACTCACGACATTGTGACATCATATGGTACCAGCTAACGTTCTAGGGTACCTCTTAGCCAATAGCGATGGCAGATTTAAATTCAAATGCAGTGCAGAGGTTTTTACCTGACGACAGCACAACACTGACAGTTTTACGCAGAAAGTTTAAATTTTAACTAAAATGCACTAAAGTGCAAAACTATTGACTACACGTGTCTGCAGCAGGGGCGGATTTAGGACTGAAGAAGATCCGGGGCTTCACACACGTAACACGCACTAGTCTTTTCATAAAACATTCGGGGCTTGAGCCCAAGTAGCCGGGCCTAACGCCGCCCCTGGTCTGCAGCACCATTAGACACACGTTTATGTAGTTTATCAGAAAAAAATAAGTTGATTTGGGGGTGACTTGCTCTTTAAAAAGAAGATCCAGCTGAAAACCACATGAAGGAAATGAGCTGTGTGAGCTCAGACATGAAATATTTATGCTTGTGTGTTTAAAGAGGCTGTGGGAAGATTTTTCACTTATTATATTTGGAACCAGGTCTTCAGACCAACTAAATGGACAAAAATCACAGAAGTTTTACAGAAAGCTTCACTAAAACTTCCGCTTCCGGTCGGTAACAAGATGGCGCCTGTGCTCGGCTTAGCCGCAGTCACCGGCCACTTTTTCAAACTTTTCTCCACTAACCTCCTCTTTTCCACCTTGCTCCTGTCTGCGATCCTCTTCAGTAGTGTCCCTGCTACCATCTCCTATGATCGCCAGACTCATTTGTCCTTCCGTTCGTTCACGATCGCCCAAGATGCACCGAGGACGTACCTCCCTGTTTGTTTACCTGAGTGGCACACTGGCCCGGAGCCAAACGACGATCCCAGCCAGGGTGCCTCCAGCGATGTTTATCCGGTCCCGGGAAAACGTCGGAGGAAAAGAGGTAAACAAGCAGGAATCCAGGTGAGAATAAGACTTCTCTTAAAGCGTGGTTTATCTGGTAAACATCGGCGTGATCTTCTAGCTTCTTGTCCTTTGTTTGGTGACCTGAGCGCCACTTCCGCATTCCCACCAGGCCGCGTTGCAGCGCGGTTCATCCGTCCAAGTTTTTTAAGGTCGTTTTATCCTCATTCCTCAGTGGTTTCTCCTCCTGTTCCCTCCATAAGTGGTTTTTATAAACACCGTGGATCTAACCCTGCTAATTTACGTCCACTAACTCCAGCTGTTTCTGTAGTTTCTGATTCCTCCACCTCACTCAGCATGGCTCTATTAAACACCCGCTCTGTTAACAATAAGTCCTTCCTGCTCAATGATCTAATTCTGTCTAAAAACCTGGATTTTCTGTTTCTGACTGAAGTTTGGCAGCAAACATCTGATTATTCTGCTCTGACTGAACTCTGCCCGAGTGGTTATTCTTTTCTTAGCCAGCCTCGGGGTTCTGGTCGTGGTGGAGGCCTAGCTGTTGTTTTCAGAGACCATCTTCCATGTAGCTCTACAACCTCATTGTATTTTTGCTCATTTTAAATATATTTATTACCATTTTCTAAATTCTTTTATATATTTTTCCATTTTTTGTTTTTGTGAAGCGCCTCGTGATTTTTCATCTTGAGAGGCGCTATAGAAATGATATTTTCTTCTAAAACAAACGTGTAAATAAGTGCATCCTTGGTTTCAGTGGTGCACCATTACATTTGCTCATTTTGCAAACTTGCAGCCTTTTCGGTAAATTTAATTATTTATTAATAACAGATTCAATTCAAAATCTCAGCTGAATGTTAATTTTCAGATGTATTAATGTTGACAACTGGAATGTGCAATTCTCCCTGGAAAATAGTATTTATATTTTAATAAAGATTCAGGAAAGCAAATGTTTTATATACATTTTATATCTATATCCATCAAAATCAAGAGTAACAACATTAGGACATTGTTGTGGTACTTGGTGCCAGAAAAATAAATGATAAACAAAAATTAGAATTAAATAAACACAATGAAATGATAATAATATAGGGAGACAAGTGGGTGCAGGTACCAGTCAGAGCGGGGTCAGTTCACGTGCAAACGCAACACAGGGTCATGTGACTGGAACAAATCAGCGGGAGTGGGCAGGTCCACGATTGTCATTCATGACCAGAGAGGGGGAGAAATGGCTCATTCTGGAAGGTACTGAAACTGGATAATAAATCTGCTGAAATAGTTTTATGTTGGAGGGATTTAGTGCAAAAAATCTAACAAGTTTTGTATCGACCATTGAGTTATGAGACCAGAAGAATACAGAGTTATTTTGGGTTTGCTGCTTGTTCACACTGATCGGGCTTGACTCTAGACTGTTTCCAACTCTCTCACTTCTGCTGCAGTTTTTCTACATTTGAATCAGGTGGAAAACTTCACATTTCTTTACAAAAATAAGTATTTTGTAGATGGATTCTTCCTGATGTCGCCTGCTCTGGATACCATCAAACAGCTTGGGTGGAACCAGGAGATTGTTCACATGTTTCCGATCTCATGGGGGCGTGGTCAGGGCGTACATGGTTACGTAACGGGCAGAAAAAAAACGTGACCACGTCGGGCAACGTAGCAGACCAACGGTCCAAAGTGACACAGGCAGGTTGAACGTGTCGTTTTTCTGGTGAATTTTCCACCTCGCGAACACCTGATCTCAGGAACGCGGATCGCGTCTCTGCGTGGGACGGACCGGAAATGCGAACGGACGCGGGAGGATGAGTTCGGGACTCGGGTCGTTTTGAGGGGAAGATGTGCTCCGAGAGTGGAAGCAGCGCGGAGCTCCAGCCCGCCTGTAAGTTGGGTTTGTGACCGAGGAGTGTGTCTGGTGTCGCGGGGACACAAGTGGAGGTGAAACATGTCGAAGCGAGCCGCTGTTTGCTATCAGAGTGTCAAACATGTCCCCTCAGCCCCGGAGCCTCCTCTCCTCCTGGAGCTGAAGACCAGGCGCCCCCCGTCCCTCCTGGACCTGGCGGGATGTGAGACCTGGAGCGTGGACTTCTCCCCGGACGGAGCTTGGTTCGCCTGGTCGATGGGACACGGGATCGTGTGGGTGGTCGCCTGGCCCCTCGACTCCGAGTAGGTTTACCTGTAGTCCCCGTGACGCATTCAGGTCCCATGGGAATTCTGAGCTTTTTAGCTAAAATTAGAAAGTATTGAATTACAGCGTCACGATTGCAGTTTCTGTTCATATACAGCCTCGACAAAGTCACCTTGGGTGTTCAAACAACAATAATAAAATAAAACAAGTTGACACGTGAGTGACTGGATATACTTTAACTGTCATTTGAATTAGAGAAGGACCGCTGTGGGCTTTTGTATTGCTGATACCGATGCAGTAGAGGTCAGTCGCTGTCAGATATGAGCTGCTGCTGGTTTCTGCGGCCGATTTCCACCTCTGACATCTCGCTTTACGCCTCATTTCAATGCTTAAATGTCAACGGACGCTCAACATTTCTGAATCTTACATGTTTGCACGGGATAGTTGTAAAATCAAGCATTGAACCAGTTAATCAAACAAATCAATAAACCGATCAAGTATTAAATATAAAATGGACAAAAATAAATATTTGTCAGTTGACGATAAAAATTTAAAGCATAAGTTTTTTCAAGAATATAAATATGTATTTTTAAAAAATTGGCTGCAGCACCAGGCTGCCCGCAGTTCTGCCTGATTTTAAATAGTCTGTACTAAAGAGGTGTGTCGGCCGAAATTTAAAAAGTTGTAGAAAATTATACGCAAAAACCGATTTACAGAAAAAACATATTTTCAGAAACAAATCACAGTATCTGTCTATTTATAATTGATCATAACATCTTAAATTGGTCTTTAATTAATTTTATTGCTTTACGTTATTCTAACATTTTTGTTTTTAAAGAGCAAGTCACCCCAAATCAACTTTTTTCTGTGATAAACTATATAAATGTGTGTCTAATCGTGCTGCAGACACGTGTAGTCAATAGTTTTGCGCTTTAGTGCATTTTAGTTGAAATTTTAATTTTCTGCCTAAAACTGTCAGTGTTGTGCCGTTGTCAGGTAAAACCTCTGCACTGTATTTGAATTTAAATCTGCCATCGCTATTGGCTAAGAAGTACTCTAGAACTTTAGCTGGTACCATATGATGTCACAATGTCATTGTGAGCCTGTGTGTGTGTGTGTGTTTGTTAGTGGCTCCGCCCTCTCGGTCTGCTAGGCAACAGCATTTGTTGCATTTTCCAACCAGGACGTGGGAGTTGTGTAATACTCTGGTAGGGGGTGACTTGCACTTTAAAGCAATCCTTATTGATTTGCCTTACTTCCTAAACTCTACCCCATAATAGTCCTGCCTAAGCATTGGCTATTAACCAACAGCAGTTGTCTGACAAAAGTTGTTTTAAAATCTTACTAATTTTAAGTTTTTTTTATTTAAACTGTAAAAATAATCTCTACGAACCTACATTTAGAATTTCCTTCATGAGGAAAATGAGCACACTTCCTGTTTGAATGGCGCCCCAACATATGCAAACTTTTCCCCACATCATCATCATTATTCATAGAAATTGCACCAAGCCTCATCAAATGTGTGACAGAGAGAACGAGTACACACATCTGTTCATTTTCAATTTGCTGCCAAGTTTGGATCCGTCCTTGTTTTCATGACGACAGCAGCCTGGCGGTGAAAGCTGAGATGACAGTCGCTGTGTTGATGTGGAGCAGCCTAAGTGGGTGTTATTAGCTCCTTGGCTTTTTTCATTTGAACGGAACAAAAAAACAAACAGCAGCAGCAGAAAGAGTCACGCTCTCCCACTACGGTGTTATCAGCAGCAGCAGCACTTCACCACCAGCTGAACCTCCGCCCACATTCAGTATCTGCATGCTTGATGCTGCTCTCACCAACAGAGAGGGTCAGGATGGAGAGACCGACAGAGGGGACAAGAGCTTCAGCTGCGGTCACCCGGTGTGGGGACTCGCCTTCGGACCCAGGCCTCCCAAATCGGCTCATCTGGCTAAAACGGCATCAAAAGGGAAAAACATCCTTCTTCTGGCCACCGGCCTGGAGAATGGGGTGATCAAGATCTGGAACGTGTTGACAGGTCGGCCATTGATGGTTGTCGTTTTGAGGAAATATTAGAATCAGCCTTAACTTCTTTCTTGTGGCCTGCAGGCAGTGCTGTGTTTGATCTGCATGGACACGAGGGAGTGGTCAGGGACCTGGTTTTTCCTCAGAACGGGTCCCTGACGCTCATATCGTCCTCTCGGGACAAGACTTTGAGGATCTGGGACTTGGCTCACAAAGGTACACACGCAGCTGAGTGAGTGGGAGGAGTCTTTTGACTTGGTAAAACATCAAGATGAGGGATAACATCAAGTGTTTTCAGTTGGGATGCACGATGTGTCGTCATCAATATCGGCCGATGTCGGTCCTTTTTTAACGTACCGTTATCGGTGCGATGATTCGAACTGGGATGATGTATTTTCTCCACCTCGTTTCTGTTTGTGGATCCGTGTGTAATTGCTTGGTCATGTGACTGTGATGGTAATCTTCGCACTTCATAGAAATAAAGCAAGACGTCACCACACACGACGACTCTTAAAACCGTTCACAGCCGTCCATAAATGACTTAAACAACAAAAAAACACGTTTAAAACTAAAAACTTTGGTTTAATAGTGAAAACGAGTCGAGTCCAACATTAACGCTTCTTATCGGGCTTCATCTCCTGGTGGTCGGGTCTAAGAAAACACATTTCAGGAAGCATTCTTCACTACTTGACTCTACAGGGAGTGCAGAATTATTAGGCAAGTTGTATTTCTGAGGAATAATTTTATTATTGAACAACAACCATGTTCTCAATGAACCCAAACAACTCATTAATGTCAAAGCTGAATGTTTTTGGAAGTAGTTTTTACTTTTAGCTGTTTTAGGGGGATATCTGTGTGCAGGTGACTATTACTGTGCATAATTATTAGGCAACTTAACAAAAAACAAATATATACCCATTTCAATTATTTATTTTTACCAGTGAAACCAGTATAACATCTCCACATTCCCAAATATACATTTCTGACATTCAAAAACAAATCAGCGACCAGCATAGCCACCTTTCTTTGCAAGGACACTCAAAAGCCGGCCATCGATGGACTCTGTCAGTGTTTTGATCTGTTCACCATCAACATTGCGTGCAGCAGCGACCACAGCCTCCCAGACACGGTTCAGAGAGGTGTACCGTTTTCCCTCCTTGTAAATCTCACATGTGATGATGGACCACAGGTTCTCAATGGGGTTCAGATCAGGTGAACAAGGAGGCCATGTCATTAGTTTCTCTTCTTTTAGACCCTTTCTTGCCAGCCACGCTGTGGAGTACTTGGACGCGTGTGATGGAGCGTTGTCCTGCATGAACATCATGTTTTTCTTGAAGGATGCAGACTTCTTCCTGTACCACTGCTTGAAGAAGGTGTCTTCCAGAAACTGGCAGTAGGACTGGGAGTTGAGCTCGACTCCATCCTTGACCCGAAAAGGCCCCACAAGCTCATCTTTGATGATATCAGCCCAAACCAGTACTCCACCTCCACCTTGCTGGCGTCTGAGTGGGACTGGAGCTCTCTGCCCTTTACCAGTCCAGCCACGGGCCCATCCATCTGGTCCATCTGGACTCACTCTCATTCCATCAGTCCATAAAACCTTAGAAACATCAGTCTGGAGATATTTCTTGGCCCAGTCTTGACGTTTCAGCTTGTGTGTCTTGTTCAGTGGTGGTCGTCTTTCAGCCTTTCTTACCTTGGCCATGTCTCTGAGTATTGCACACCTTGTGCTTTTGGGCACTCCAGTGATGCTGCAGCTCTGAAATACGGCCAAACTGGTGGCAAGTGGCATCTTGGCAGCTGCACGCTTGACTTTTCTCACTTCATGGGCAGTTATTTTGCACCTTGGTTTGTCCACACGCTTCTTGCGACCCTGTTGACTATTTTGAATGAAACGCCTGATTGTTCGATGATCACGCTTCAGAAGCTCTGCAGTTTTAAGACTGCTGCATCCCTCTGCAAGATATCTCACTATTTTTGACCTTTCTGAGCCTGTCAAGTCCGTCTTTTGACCCATTCTGCCAAAGGAAAGGAAGTTGCCTAATAATTATGCACACCTGATATAGGGTGTTGATGTCATTAGACCACACCCCTTCTCATTACAGAGATGCACATCACCTAATATGCTTAATTGGTAGTAGGCTTTCCGGCCTATACAGCTAGGAGTAAGACAACATGCATGAAGAGGATGATGTGGGCAAAATACTCATTTGCCTAATAATTCTGCACTCCCTGTAAGTGCAGCGGTCTGACTGTCCGTCCTTTATTGGTTCTCTCTGGCTGTTTTGGGCCCAAGCCTGCACACGCTCATATTTGTGACTCATGTTCCCTTCTTCTCTGGAAACGAATAACTTCTACGTTTTCTTTTGCTTCAGGTAAAAAGGTTCAGGTTCTTTCTGGCCATAAAGACTGGATCAGCTGCTGCAGCGTCTCGTCTGACTGCAGCATGATCGCGTCCGTCGGAAGGTTTGACAGAGTGAGTGCTTTTTTTTTCTTCTTCATTCCAAACCACGTTATGCTCGGGTCCATTCCAAACACTGCAGCAAAGGAGATTAGCGTACTAATGATCCCGAGGGATGCTATGTATAAATGTAGTTTTCTGCACGTCTTTCAATTCAAAGTGTCTCAGACGTCTCCTTTTATCTTCGTCTTGATGGTTTTGTTTTGAAATCCATTTAGGGGCAAAAAGCAGCCGGTTCTGCGTCAGATTACTTATTTCATATTATGTTTTGAAACTGAGGGACGATGTAGACTTCTGGACTTCCTCTGGTGTCAGGAGAACATGGTCAGAGATCAGGTTTCATTCCAAAACCCATCGGACCAAACAGACTCTGGTAGAAGCGCCTTGGAGAGATGCATCCTGCAGGTGTCACTGTTGTCTGGTGTGTTATTAATTTTATATACTTTATTTAAAGGTCTTGTTTTCTTTTCTATAAATCAGCTGTGGTCTAGTATTCTAGTATAGCTCTTGGGAATAATGCAACCATGATGTTTTATCTCTAAATAAGAAACCTGAACGTCTTCCACCAAGTTGCTAATGGTTAGCTTCTACTAGCCAAGATGTGCTCTACTCTCTCCTGGCTGCAAAATCAATACAGCCTGTCTGTGGGCGGTCCCAAGCCAATCTGGGCGGAGCCGTGAATGGTAATACTTTGTAGAAGAGACAGGTTTTTTTAATGAAAAAAGAACAAGTATTAAATGGTTTCTCTGTGAAAAAGACCTGTACATTTTTCCAACTGTTAAGAACGTATCCCAGAAGTCTGTGGAGAAGTGCTTCACACCAGCAGAAGGAAAGAGAAGCCCCCCCCCCCCCCCCCCCCCCCCCCCCCCCCCCGACTGGTCACAACCAAGCGGTTGTCTGAATATGTCATCAGCGTGCGACAGTAGCACCGCGTAACATTCAGGCTAGGGCTGAAACGATTCCTCAAGTGTCTCGAATAATTAGAGTACAAAAGATCCTCGAGTCAGATTCTCTGCCTCGAAGCTTCGTTTGATTCATGTTTAATTAATTCATGGCTTTGCAATCGCCCGGGGTCATGTTTCACCCGGACCGAAATAAGCGGCGCGCATACACACTGCACTGAATACACACGCGAGTAGCGAATGTAACCTAAAGCTTGGTTTATGCTTGACGCGTCCGCGAGGTTCGCACGGCTCCGCGCGGCAAAATTGCATCATTTTAACAACCACGCCCCTCCACCACGCCTCCGCACGGCCCAAACTTTCCGCACCTAGGAAATTTTCTAACCACGCGGACGGTCGGACGTGGAAAAACATGGCGGACCGGCAAGAACTAGTATGGCAGAGGTTCGTAAATACAGACATTTGTATGATTCAAGATTAAATTCACTGTGTTGGGCCCAAATACTCACACTTCCACCCCTGTGCCCTTCAAATGCGCATTCCTGGCCAGATGTGCAAATGCGTAGGGCGTCCCAATTCTCGAGTGTGGAAGGTGACCCGGCTCCTCCGGAAGGTGACCCGGATCCACACTTTCCCCAAGTCTGCATCAGTACAGATTTGAGGGTGTTGCCCACAGTCGCTGCTGCGTGGGAAGTTTGAGAAGAAGGTGAAGGCTTGCGTGCCTTTTCTGAAAATGTGTTTTCATTTTAAGACTTTTAATGATATTTGTTCATGCTCAGAATGTTTTAATTGGTAAAGATTTTTTTGAGTGGCATAAGCAGCGACCAGCATGCGTTGTGGTCGATGACGCAATGCTTCCTGTCCCAGTTCATAAATAATTAGCACACTTGTGCACCGTGCACTTGAAGCCCTCCTCCAAGTGAAGGCTTCAGAAGCCTGAACACTCTCTCCAGCGCCACCTGCAGGATGCTTGAGTTTTTCCTGTGACCTTTTTATTCTGACGGCGTTCAGACGTCTGATGGGTTTTTAAACGAAACCTGATGGTTTTTTATCTGATCTGATGATTAATGGTGTTGTCCTGAGACCTGTGGATGTTCTGTACGCCATACTGAAGGAAAAGGAGACAATTACACGCAACAAAACAAACCCTTTTGCAGGTTTTTTTGTCTGACTATAAAGTTACACCTAGCTTGAAGGCCCTGGATTACAGAAACTCCCTTTGACCCAGCTTTTAAACATGGAGCGCTAACATAATCTCCATCTGCTCCTGGTGTGTTTTGGGTCAGACGTTCCCCATGGAGCAACAGGAACGTGCTAATTTGACTCGTTCTCAGCTGCAGCTTTAGTAGAACCGGACTTTATGGTCACAGAAACAGTTTTCATGCTTAGTTTGTCCCGCTGACGAAGCCAGAACCTCCCTGAGAATCAAATTACCGGTATTTCCTGTTTTTTTTTCTAGCATAGCAACTTTAGATAATAACCTGAGCACGCTCACAGTAATTTTCCAAAAGTGTGCCGGTTCTTAACCCTGTGTGATGCCACCCTCGCCAGATGGTGTGTCTGTGGAGTCTCCGCTCGTATACGTTCATCAGGAACCTGATGGGGGCGAACCAGAAGCAGTTGTGTCTCCTGTCCTCCTGTGACTTCTCTCCGGACGGGGCGGTCCTGGCCACGGCGGCCTTCAGCGGCTCCAGCTGGTGGATTGACCTCTGGGACCCGTACACCGCGGAGAAACTGGCCACGCTGGCGTACGTTTGCTGTATGACTGAATCTTCCTGCAGCACCTGAGGCCATCCTGATCTCTTTGCTCCACATTTACTTCGTGTTGTTACCGACCTTTGACCTTCATCCACAGAGACTACTTCGACGACTACGGGCAAAACCAGATCTCAGCGATACAGTTCTCCCCCAACGGGCTGCATTTAGCCATTGTGACTGATGACAGGTGAGTGACGGTTTCTGAGATATTTGTCTGACTGGTTCAGCGGTTCCAGGCAGGTGTGTTGCTTCTGCAGAGCTCTGAGGGTCTGGGAGCCTGGAGAGAGACGCATGACGATGCAGACAAAGCGGGGCCGGGACTCTAACGGACTCTGCTGCAACTACCATCCACAAGGGGGCGTGATAGCTACCGGGTAAAAGAAGTCCTCCACTACTTGAACTTGGACTGTGTTACTGTTCCACAGCAGTGATAATGTAGCTCATAGATACATTTTATATCATCATATTTTCAGTGGAAGCTTGATGAAAATTTGAAATGCTCAGATTTTTCATGATAATCATTTCTGCAGGATCTGTACTAGAGATCGACAAATGTTGGTTTTTGTACCGATATGTACAAGACGCGGTGAGCCGATACCGATATGTAGGGGACGCGGTGAGCCGATGCCAATATGTAGGGGACGCGGTGAGCCGATACCAATATGTAGGGGACGCGGTGAGCCGATACCATTATGTAGGAGATGCGGTGAGCCGATACCAATGTGTAGGGGACGCGGTGAGCCGATACCAATGTGTAGGGGACGCGGTGAGCCGATACCAATATGTAGGGGACGCGGTGAGCCGATACCAATATGTAGGGGACGCGGTGAGCCGATACCGTTATGTAGGGGACGCGGTGAGCCGATACCGTTATGTAGGGGACGCGGTGAGCCGATACCGTTATGTAGGGGACGCGGTGAGCCGATACCAATATGTAGGGGACGCGGTGAGCCGATACCAATATGTAGGGGACGCGGTGAGCCGATACCAATATGTATGAGACGCGGTGAGCCAATACCAATATGTATGAGACGCGGTGAGCCAATACCAATACGTACGAGACGCGGTGGGCCGATACCGATATGTAGGGGACGCGGTGAGCCGATACCAATATGTAGGAGACGCGGTGAACAGATACCGATATGTACAAGACGCGGTGAGCCGATACCGATATGTAGGGGACGCGGTGAACAGATACCGATATGTACAAGACGCGGTGAGCCGATACCAATATGTAGGGGACGCGGTGAACCGATACCAATATGTAGGGGACGCGGTGAGCCGATACCTATATGTACAAGACGCGGTGAGCCGATACCGATATGTACGAGACGCTGTGAGCCGATACCGATATGTGCGGGACGCGGTGAGCCAATACCGATATGTACGAGACGCAGTGAGCCAATACCGATATGTACGAGACGCGGTGAGCCAATACCGATATGTACGAGACGCGGTGAGCCAATACCGATATGTACGAGACGTGGTGAGCCGATACCGTTATGTACGAGACACAGTGAGCCGATACCGATATGTACGAGACGCGGTGAGCCGATACCGATATGTGCGAGACGCGGTGAGCCGATACCGTTATGTACAAGACACAGTGAGCCGATACCAATATGTACGAGACACGGTGAGCCGATACCGATATGTACGAGACGTGGTGAGCCGATACCGATATGTACGAGACGCGGTGAGCCGATACCGATATGTACGAGACGCGGTGAGCCGATACCGTTATGTACAAGACACAGTGAGCCGATACCAATATGTACTGCCGATTGTCATGAGTCGAAATCTGGACGTTTTCCACCTTATTTTCATGCTAAAATGTCACAAATGTTGGTCGATGCACAAAAGACAAATTAGTTTAACTCAGATAGTCAGACACTTAAAGTTAGAGTATTTATTTAGAAGGTATTTGTGAACGTAAAAATACATTTAAAGGAAATCCCGCTCTTCTCCTGCAGAACCAGGGACGGCCACGTGAGGTTCTGGAGGCCTCCCAGGACCGTGCCCAGCTTGTGCCACCTGTGTAGATCCACTCTGCGCCACTCCGTGTCCACGCACCAGATGGAGGCACTGCCGCTCCCCCGGAGGATCCTGGAGTACCTCACCTACAGAAACATCCCAGAACGCCTCAGAGCCTGCTGCTCCTCAGACGAAGAGGACTGGGAGAGTTAACGAACCTGCTGCTGTTTTTCTACTCTAACAAAATGCCTCTTCTGTTTCTAATGAAGGACGTTCACTAACGGGCAGGAAACCAGCTAGCTTTGTAATCCGCTTTCGACGCACTAAGGATTCATTTATTGCACTACCACTTTAACGAGGCACACACTCACATTTAGGACTTGAATAATGCAATTTTATACACTAATTTATTCTGTAAATAGGTGTATATAATTTCTGATTTGTGTTCATTTTAAGCGCAGGTACAGTTTTGCTTTATTTGCACTTGTTAACATTCAATAATAGAAACTGGACTTCTATTTAAAAAGGTTTTATTAAACAGATAAACACACATTTACATGCTGCAGAGCTTTATTTTCGGGCGTTGCCCCGGACCACGTGCTGCACAGTGAAGTCATCGCGGTGGGAGCACTTGCAGCAGAGACCTGGACCCGTTCATCCTCCTGGTCAGCACAACACTCTTCTCCAGCGAGAATTCAGGAACTTTGAGGTTTTCACGATTCGTTCTCCTTTTGTTGTGGAAAAGAACGGAACACCGCTTTTCTCTTAGGAGGCTTCACTGACCACCAGGTCTCGGACTGCCTGGAACGCCGCAACCATGGAGCTTAGCTGGATCTTCTCGTTGGTTCCCGACGCCAGCCGATGCCTGATGAAGACGAAACGTTAGATGAGCCATTTATTTCTCGAGATGGAATAAGCGTCGCACTCACTCGATGTCGGCCAACTTGGTGAGCAGGGTGATCCGGATAGCTGGAGGGAAGTCCACTAGGAAGAGGAGGAGAACAAAATCCATGTTGGCATAAGAAGTTTTGTACGAGACGATGTCCAGCAGGAAGTTTTATTTCTTTAAATCGCTCAGCCACCCCAGATGTCTCACCTCTGTGAACGAGAAGATGCACCTCAGTGAGGATGTCGTGTAGAGCCAGACCCTTCAGAGTCTTCAGCTGCAGGATTTCTGTAACACGCCGGTTAAAGAACAACAAACACGGCTGGTGGATGTCTGCTTTAGACAACTCACCATCGCACGATATTAGGAAAGCCTGCGATATTCCAGAACAGTGATTAATATGGCGATGACGATATTACTTGCGATTAGGGATTTGAATCTCCGAGCAACTCACCATTTGATTCGATTCCGATTCTCTGGGTGTCGATTCGATTCAGAATCGATTCACAATCAGTATTAAAGCGTGTAAGCTCCAGGATGAACTACTCTGTTGTACAAGTTAGTTAAAGCTACGGGACGTTTTTATTTGACTTTAAACTGGTCGTGCTCCAAAGATGCTAACGTACAAGGTAAACTAGCGATTCTAAAACTGTAAACAGAAACAATCTTTTGACCAAAAGCAACATTTATTTTTGCTTACCTTGTAAAACATAACACATCTCAGTGTTTCCCCTAGGAATTATTGGGTGTGTAAATTAGTGGGTGTGGTTTACGTCAATACATTATTTTGAGCTGCATGGTGGCGCAGTGGTTAGCACTGTTGCCTCGCAGCACGAAGGTTGCAGGTTCGAAACTCGGCTGCGGCCTTTCTGCGTGGAGTTGCGTGTTCTCCCCGTGCATGCGTGGGTTTCCCCCACACATCACAACATGCCCTATAGGGTATAAACTGTAAGTCGCTTTGGATAAAAGCGTCTGCTAAATAAATAAATAAACATTTTAAATCTGAAATTGATTTGGATTGATCAGAAGTTGATATGTGTATTGTTTATTTGAAAACTATTAACAGAGCAGCCTCAGAACTGAGATTAAATATTTTTGATCACAATAGTAAAGGAACTATTACAGAACAAGTTTTTCAGTAAAACCAGATCATTAATGTTTAAGTGCATGAATTAATGCATCTGAACTCATGCAGTAGGAACTAGGAAATACTAGAACCATCTTATTTTAATTTGATTAAACTGATTTTTTCCTAACGTTGTTGGCGTTTTCCCCACACACACTTAAACAAAACAATGTTGATTAAGGTGTGTGAGAGAGAATAATTTAAAAAAACCCGACCGGAGCGGAGGCAGTGACCGACGCAGCACGAGCCGTTTTCAGCTCGGTCTTGTCAAATGCACCACGTACGTTACGAAAAAAGTAACTTTAAATATTAAACCGAAAAAGAGGCGAGCTGAAGAAAACCTAGGGAGCTCTGGAGAAACGTGAGAAACAGTGAAGCAAGCACAGAGATCCGTTACTGTCTGTGTGTGTGTGTGTGTGTGTGTATGTGTGTATGCGTGGATGGGGCGGACGGACTGAGCTCCCAGCTGCAGAGTTTTGTGTGTAGGGAGGGGTGGGTGCTCCATTTGACTGGCCAATCAGAGCGTGAAGGCAGTTACCCAATGAGGATTTTCCTTCAGCACGATTACAGATTTTTACGAGTTTTACTCGTTTCATGCTCGTATTCGTCAAAATGCTTTATCCGTACCGGATACTCGTCTGAAACGCTCCCCCTAGCTGTAACCACCCTGCCCTGCCTCCTCCTCCTCCTCGCTACCCACCGGCTGTGAACACAAGCAACAACAGAGTAGCTCCCGCTGCTTCTTTGGGAAACGGCGCAAAAAAAAATTTCTATAGAACGGGATCTTGTAGGTGTGGCGCTGGGATTTCAGCCATGGCGGCCCGCGACGGCTACGCCTATGTAAGGGAAACGCTGAATCTTTAGTTGCCCAACAGTAGCTTTGAAAGTAATACGGTCAAATACTTTTCAAGTATGTGTAGAAACAAGTTTAACATTTGAGTCCTCAACCTGTTTAAATAAAGTGCCTCAGATTTCTTACAAAGGAAAATGTGTTCTCTCATTTATCAGTAACTTAAAATAAATACATGAGTAATCCTGAGTACTCATTTATCAACTTAGAAAAAAATATGAGAATATCTCAAATTTCTGAGTATGGAAATAATGACATTCTAGTCCCCTCTTATCAGCAGATTCAAACATAAATCATCCCAGTTATGGGACCACAAAAGTAATCTGAGTACTGACTCTCCTAACAAAGACCAAAACCTGTAACGTGCCAAATATTTCAGTTCTTGGAATCAATTCTGAACCTTTGTGGATCGATTCTGAATCTTTATAAACAAGAATCCCGATTCAGACTTGAATCGATTTTTTTCAGCACCTCTATTTGCAATAAATAAAAACTTAACTCAGGAACTAAAATAATCGAAAACAAAGAAATAAAAAAAGTCATAAAAATGAGAAAAGCAAAAGATGCGAGGAAAGGGAAAAAGAAAAGGCGATCGGTGGATCCCGGGAAAGGCTAAATCAGCAGAACTAAGCTGACTCAGGCGTTTGCCAACCATCAAAATTAAGTGCCGTCCGCCTCGGGGGCGGGCCTCCAACGCATGAGAACCCACCCGACTGGCCAAACGGGTGAAAAGCTCTTTTATTTGTTAAGAAAACATCATGCCTCCATCTGACAGAACGCATCATGTGTAGCAAACATTTGAGCTGACCATTGCGATATTTATCTGTTCTTTGCAATATGCATATCGTGCATGCAGATATCGCGATAACGATATATTTATGACATATTGTGCATGCTGATATCGCGATACCGATATATTTACGACATATTGTGCAGCCCTACCACCACACATTAGGTGGTGGTGAAGGATACGGTTGTAAGCAGTGTTGAAGTCTTTGTTGAGGCACCAGTCCAGGATGTTGGCGATGTCTGAGCGAAGGGGCTGGCCCGTACAGGTGTACACCGTGTCCTCCGTGACCTTCCCGTACGCCATGCTGGTGCTCTGAAATCCCAGAGAGAGCACCAGTTTACCCCTCTACTGACGTGATGATGAACGCTGTGGCGACTTAACACTTCCAGGTAGGGATGCACCGATACGATACTGGTATCGGCACCAATACCAGTATCGGTAAAGGTTAACCGATACCAATGCAGTTGTTTGAAAATGGCTTCACTGTAACTTGTCATTTCTGTTCACCTAATATTTTAGTTTTGTGATGATTTCCATTCATATATTTTACTTTTTATCTTCCTCACAGTCTTTTCCTGTTGAAAGCAGAGAAGAAAGTAAAATCTGTATTCCAAATCATTGCATTTTTTTGTGTGGTAGAAGTATCGGTATCGGTAATCGGCGAGTACTCAGATCCAAGTATCGGTATCGTATCGGTTTGGGAAAAAAGTGGTATCGTTGCATCCCTACTTCCAGGCGATCGAAAATGAACGTCTGGGCCAGAAAGAAAGCAGATTTAAGTCGTACCTGCAGAATGTTGAGCGATCTTCTCATATCACCAGATGATAACGTCACAATGGCCTTCATTCCATCTGGAGTCACTTCAACGCTGCCACATGTTAAAAAAGTTATCCGGTTAATTTTTAGTTTAAATTAGTTCCAATCCATCCGATTAAAACCTAAATATAAATCTCTTAATGAAACGCTTTAGTCTAAATTCAAGTCCAGAATCTTTCCTAAAGGAGCAACTCTGATGGGAAGACTTGGGAAAAGGCCTGGAGAAGGTTTAAATGCTCTGAGGTGTGAAAAGTTCTCCAATCCATGCACTTCATGCGTCTGCATGAAAGCAAAGAAAAAATAAAAATGTTTAAAGTCGTTGAAAACACGATGGCATAAAACGATCATTTGTGATTTTTGGTATCTTACATTAAATCAAATGTTTGCAATAATTAGGGGAACTTAAATGTTCACGTGGAAGAAGAAGCTCAGAACTCTGACTTCACCTCAGATGAACTCATCTGTGATTTTTGGGGCAGGTTTTACCACAGCAGCTTCTGCGGAGCTTAACGACCTGCTGAACAGGTGATTCAAGCATTGAATCAGGTGTGCTGGAGCAGAGAAACAACTAAAACACGCTGGACAGGGCCCCTAGAGGACCAGGATTGGGTGCAAAAACCGAATCTGCAAAAGAAAAGAGAAGAAATGTTCCTACTTCTCCTGCTGGATAACGTGCTCCAGTCGGGGGACCATCTGGTCGGGAGAGAGCGGGCCGAAGCGGAACCTGGTGCAGCGAGACTGCAGAGCGGGGATGATCTTCGACAGGTAGTTACAGATGAGGCAGAATCGAGTGTTTTCTGTGAACTTCTCAATCACTACGACAGAGGAGGTCGGCACAAGCAGGAGACGTTAAAACTAACGCAGCGAACAGAAAGTGTTGCTTGCAGTAGGAAATGATTGCAAACATTTTAAAGTTCTGATAAGAATCACAAATCATCACCGTGGGTTTTTGTTCTACCAGCCAGCATTTCTAAACCAAACATGAAAAGGATCAAATATTCTAAAGCAAGACAGGGTCTGACAGCATCTTTTCTATGCATGCCTCAGTTAAATACGAGTAAAATTGCAATCAGCAACAAAACCCACAACGACCAGCAACAGGAAACATGTTTTCCCATTTCCTCCCAGTTTGAAACTCCTAAAAGAATCCGTTTGGAAACAAATCTGGCTTTGGAAAGCAGATCCACCATTTTAAAAGCAGCCAGATTATGAGGATGCTCAGTCAGCTGTGAGGCTCACAGTGGGCGGCGCCCTGGAGAACAGATGGCTCACCTCGGCGCAGTGCATTCTGGGCATCCTGGGTCATGGCATCGGCCTCGTCCAGAATCACCAACTTGAAGCCTTTCCTGAAGGAACAGAAAAGATGACAGCCGTACAGGTACCTGCAAAATCTCAGAGGTTCTGGGTCCCAAAAGCCCTTTTAGTTTGTTTATACCCACTTAAAAATAGTCCTGGTACTAGCAAAGCTCAGAATGGGACCTCGTACAACGTCAATCCCTCTGTCGTCAGACGCGTTTAGCTGCAAAGAAAAAGCAAAGTTTCTGAACAATCTCCGAACCCTCGTGAGGTCATTCCAGCACAGGAAGAAGCCCTGAACACTCATGAAAGTGTTTGTTTACCTCCAACACCATGGAGTTGAACTCTTTATCCTTGTACAGCTGCCTGGCGCAGGCAAGGATCGTGGAGGTTTTGCCTGTTCCAGGGGGACCGTAGAACAAAAGGTGGGGAAGCTTGTCTTCGCTGATGAACCTCTGGACTGAAGGTAATAAAATAAGTTATTAACAAAAATAAACTCATTTATAAGTATGAAAATATAATTTCAAACACACGAAATGAGAGAAACGTTTATTTTTATCATGATTTTAGTTACTAAAAGTAGAATTTTATGATGTGAATATTTATTTTACACAGATGAAGCTTCAGGAAAGAAGACAACAACGTGTTTTACTTGCAGATACTCACGGGTACTCAGGATATCTTTGTGTGAAATTAAATCGTCGAGGGTTTGAGGTCTGTATTTTTCTACCCTGAAATACAAAACAAGTGCGTCAGTTATATTATAAACAATAACTACTTACTGAATGATTAAAGCTTGACAGCACAGAAAGCAAACATATTAGCTCAAATAAAACCAATCTGTAGATTCCGTTGCCATTTTAATCATTATTGTCGAACCTAACAAGGTCTGTTTGACGAGTTTGTGCAACGGTAAAAGGTTAAAGTTATGATGGGGGACACAAGTGTGAACACTTCAGCTACTAGCATGCTAGCTAGCTAGCACTAAGCACCTTTGCGTAATTAAACACGCGCTTTCTGCTCACCAAGGTAAATTCCGAGACTGCAACGGGACTTTACTCGTAGACGCCATGCCTCCTGCAAATGAACAATAATCACAAATAAACACTAGAATTTTAGCCTGTTCGTTAGCTTGTAACCCTGCCTTGTTTTGCCGCGCTCACGAGAGAAACGTGCGTCAAAACGTCAATACGTACAACCAATTGGATGACGGTATTTGTCTTTGTAGTGGGCGGGGTCACTGTGGTTAGTTGAGCGCTGCAAAAAGTTAACACAACTGCGACTAATCATTACGCTGCAAGAAATGTCAAACATTGTTGTTCCTCTTCAAATTCGTTTAAATGTCAAACTTTTTCTTTTCTCATTGCAAATAAATCACTAGAAACCAATAAAACCAAAAATATTTATCCAGCTTGATCAATTATATTAGCCAGAATGTCCTGAAAGAAGCACAACGTAAAAACAATTATGTCAGCTATTTCCAGATACGACGACGACGACGACGATGATGATGATGACTAGATGTTTGTCACTACTTTGTACCTAAACATTCTAATTTCTTTAGAAAATGTGTTATGAGCTATGCCCGTGTTAAGATTTACCTAAAATAGATCACATTTTTCATGTAAACACAGGTTTATGGTTTTATTGTGGTTTAAAGTCCCCTTAAGTCAAATAACCCCGAGAAAATTAATATAAACCTAAGTTTGACCTTAGCCTCATTTTGATCTTTGACTAAACAATCTATGATTTTTCAGCGATGCTTGCACTGCGATCTTTTTAATCAAATATATATATATATATATTGTGTGTGTGTGTGTGTGTGTGTGTGTGTAAGTGTGTAATAAGAGTGCACATATATGTGGCGTTGATATGAGTAAATGAAATAGAATAAAAAAATCTTTGACTCGGGCATGAAGAAAACCCGTTTCTCATCCAGGCCTGGAGTTCTCGCGAGAGCGGCCCCTCACGGCGGAGCCTGGGCGCTGCTATGCTGTTGCTGTGGGTTTGATTGACAGGAATCATGTCGGTGTGGTGGGAACGTACCGGGATGCTGCTGCTGCCCAGGGAGACACGGAGGACCCGCATCCAGCAGCGTTAAGCGCTCCAGACTTCCCTCCGAGCTGTCCGCTTACGATGCGCTGAGCCACATCCCTCTTTTCCTTTCTTTTCTTTTTTTTCTTTCAACATCCTTCTGAGAGGAAGAGGCACCCAATGGATGCTGTGTCAAACCGCGCAGTCCAGCTCGGTGTCTTCATGCTGCATCTGATTTAGCCCACCTTGATGATCCAGCAGGACTGATGGAGGCGATGGAGTCGACTCTGTCACGGCTCAAACCCTGAATCCAAACCCGCAGCATCTCTTTTCATGGCGTTCTGCAGGTCGCTGTACTCCGTGGGCTCCTCCACGTTTATTTCCTTCAAATAATCTTTATCGTTGTCATTTTTCTCCTGCAAAGAGAACTATCCACCCACTGTTCGCCAAACAATGAACGAGGAGATGACAAAAAGCGAGGAGCAGCATCTGAGTTTGCAGAAAGCCTTGCAGCAGTGCGAGTTGGTGCAGAACATGATAGACATAAGCATCTCTAGTTTGGAGGGTTTACGGACCAAATGTGCCACATCCAACGACTTGACGCAAAAGGAGATAAGAACGCTGGAGGTAAGCTTTTATTGGTGTCTCTTTTGGACGTGGTGCATCTCCACCTCCATCCATCCCGAGGGCTGCCACCGTGCTGTTTTTAGGCCACTCTGCATATTTATGTGCCTTTTTCCAGGGGGCATTGTGCTGCCAATGCATTCATATGCAAAGATCTCCGCTAAAAGCTCGCCGCTATCTGTTTTATTTGTTTGTTTTTTGTGTGCAGTGCAATGAATCAAGAGGCCACGGTGCGTCTGCAGTGGGTTGTTTTACAGACTTGCGCATTCTGCAGGTGGCGGGGATGAAGGTGGCTCTTCATCAGAGTATGATGCGAGGCCTATAGGCTGCCCGTGTTTACAATCCATTACCAGCAGACGACAGCCTGCGCATCTGCTGTGGCAGCGTGTCCCAGACCCCATGAGCGGTTATGCAAGACGCGCGGATAACTGACATTGTTGCAAAATATCCCTTAATTGGCCCGCGGGGTATTCCGTAAATTGCGTTACGTAATGGCCATAAATACCCTGGTGTTTTTGTTTGAGATGTCACACTGCCCGTTCTGAGACCACTTAAAACAGGCGCGCGCGCGCACTTTCAGGACATAAAATGGCATAAAGTGCGCAAAAAGGTCAAAGAAAACCCCGCACAGCAACCTGCAGACTGCACAGCTTTAAATGGCCTGCAAGAATGTATTTATTTATTTTTTGGGGTGATGTCTCAGGAGATTAAAACAAACACCATTAAGTGCAATAAAGCGCCCATAAACTCACCACTGAGTACCATCAAATCACTTAAAAGTCCCAGCTGGAATATAATTGATAGGTTGCATAAAAATAGCCGATCATAAAGTCTCCTGAGAGTGATCCCACATGTTATAATAAACACGTTGTAATGCCTTATGTCACGTGGTTAAAGATAGTAGGTGATACAAAGGCTTTCCAAGATGATGGAGGAACTAATAGTGCACATTTGCTGCCAGTTCTTAGCCACAGTGTGAAGATGAATGCTCACTATGTTCCCAGAATGCCTGGCAACGCCTCATGGGTAAAGAATCCCAGAAAACAATCACGTCCGTTTTAAAGAGGACATATTATGACTTCTCAAGTTATGATATTTGGTTCAACATTTTTATGAAGTGATTTGCACTAAATACCCCTCATGAAAAGAGATTTCCACTGTTTTATTCTTGACATTTTCAGTACCTTCCAGAATGAGCCGTTTCAACACCGTCACTTTAGCTGTTTTTACAGGACCAGAGCGTTGGAAAAACAGGATTTGCGCGGCGCCCTGGGCAGGATAAAGGTCGTTTATAAGATCGGACCGTGGTGGTAATGTGGCACAATCGTGGCAATTTAAGATTAGGTGATGGCGGCATAAAGGGGGTATGGGGGCGGTCTCTGCGCTGTAGCAGACTTCCATTTATCTTGGACATAACTTGTTTTTTATTGCGATTGAAGCCGTGATCGTTAAGGTTTTTTTAACAAGCAGCTCCTAAAGGTGTCTGTCCCCATCGGTCCCTGTGCAGTCTCTGGTAATCTGAGCTTCAGCTCTAACAGAGAGGCTCATGGAGTGCTGCGGCGCTCCAGTTTGCCATCTCAGCTGATTTTTTTCAAAAAGCAAACCTTATTGCCCGTGTTTACTTTCATTTTCAATACATTTACCAGCCGGAGCTCAGCAATAACTCCCCACGTCATTGTGACATCTGCCTCTGTTGCACCAGGGCACATACGTACAACAGACCATTTACGCAATATTACCACCAAGCGACGCGGAACAAATGCAGCAAAATTAGCGCAACGCCATGCTGGCATGGCGCGTTTATAGACCTGCCATTGCGGTAATATGACGCCGATTTGCCGGCATGGTGTGTCTTATAAAAGAGGCTATAAAGAATACAAGGTGGAGCTAGTCTATGCCAACCCCTCCCCCGCTCAGGCTGCTATAAGCTAAGGAACTCAGATATCAGAAGGGGTTCGGTAGAGAGGTTCTATTCTAATTTCCTGTTTGTGATATCACAAACTGGGACTTTTTGAATCATCTTGTTTTGGCACAAAATTGTTGACACCAAACATGGACAGATGATGGATGGATGTTTATTGCATGTTTAGAGTTTATAGAGGCAGTAGAGACCCACATGGCTGCACAAAAGGATGCCGACGGTGAGTTGTGCATAAAAGATCCCCTTTAAAAGATAACTTGGAAAGACTCGATCAGTTTTGACTTGAAGAGACATCAAAACGTTTTCTAAAATGCAATTTCATTATGTGCAATTTCATCATAAAAACGCCCATTAAATTGCACAAATTGCCAATATTTAGCCATGAAATGGACCCCCACTTCTCTAAATACACGCAGCCAGCAAATAGCGTCTTCCTATACTACTGACAGAACATGAGCGTTTATTTCAAACTACAGTTCCTTCAGTTTTCAACAATAATATTCATATTGCTTGCTTTCCTAATATTGTGCAGCCTTTTGGGGCCTGTACACAAAGGAAAAATGTCACGCTCCCCAACTTCTTCTTTACATTTGGCGGTAGTCTGGTTATTTAAGTTATAAACAAAGTGGAAAAGTTAAAGTCGATCTGCTCTGACGACTATATTAGAGTTTTCCTGCTTTTTTATCCACATTTGTTGGGAATAAAATGATGTATGATTTTAAAGCACATATTAGGAATTGAATAAAATAATTTAAAAGTAAAGACAATGTACAAAATCTTCTATTTGACCACTCGAGGCATTTGCATCTGTGAAATATTTGACTTATTTTGTTTGATGAGGTTTTAATGAGAGTGATGCCACCTGCACTGGGATTAGCACGAAGCTAATCCAGAGGGCAGTAATGAAAACCAGCAGTGAGATAACAGAAGAGAAGGAGGCCATAGCTAATAAACAGTAATGACTTATTAATTAGTTCATTACCTATTGATTGATTTTCATGCAGGGAGACTAAATATTGCTGATGTTGCAGTTGTTTTCAATCAAAGAAAGGGAAAAAAGCAGCAGATACATGTTGCACCAAGTTGTTGCAGAAAATAAAAGAATTAAACATCCTTTTATTTTGGAGAGTGCAGCAACAAGTTGAAGTCATGGGAGTGTGCACACCTTTTCTTGTGAAAAACTCGGTACATTTGAACTTATATCAGTTTGGAGTTTCATGCAAAGCAGATGTTGTTTAGCCCGATTTAAGATTAGTCATTCTAATAATAACAGTTAAGAATTCAAGATTTCCTCCAAGCAAAAAGAAATATCATCCAAAATGTCGTTTAGGTCGAGCTTAAGCTCTAATTGCTGCGCCAGTACGGTTTGTGACTTCCCTTTGCATTTTGCAAGTGTGCATTCACAGATTTGAGTCATTTCCAAATGTAAAGTAAATATTTTTTTGCAGATTGATGGAGTCCTGCTGACATTTAGGCGCATTTGCAGAGTTCTTCAATAAATTAGCTGAGCATCACATTAGAAAACACGTGAAAGCCAAAGCGCAAATGATTAAGTTGTCTAAAGGCTATAAGGGATGTTTATTTTAAATGATTAACTTTCTTTCAGCTTTACTTTAGTTTTTTGACGTATAAAATTTTCTGGTGCATTTACTTTACTACAAATCATCAAATAGACCTGAGAACAGAATAAATAAGCTGATTTTGTTTAGGATCTGTGCCACAGCCACCTGTTATTCCCATGGAAGGTGGCAAATCTCAGTTTCACTTGAGTTATTCATTCAGACTTTTTAAATGTGAATAAATGAAAATTTGGTGACATTATTTATTATTGACCCTCTCTGCAGAACAAATGAAAATAGTCTATGCTGCACATTCTACATGTGTTCTCATCACATTCCTCATCCATCAGTTAGGATCACAGAAAGTGAGAAACATGAATCCCGCCCACGTTGGAGGATTTTGTCATACGTTGTCGTGGGCTGCCATGCTGTTGTTAAATTTAGGCGACAGTTCTCCACCATAAAACACAATTTCAAAAACATCCAGGAACTATCGCTGCAAAACATGGCCTGGATGTTGCTTTTCAGCTTGATTAACGTCCGTTTTTAAAAATTATTACAGAAATAATGATCAGAGCGACATGAGGAATAAAAATGAATAAATAATCTGAATCATAATGATGTTCATGTAAAAATCTGTCTGTTTTTTAAATTTTCCACTATAACACTTAAAGAGCAAGTCATCCCCTAATCAACTTATTTTTTCTGATAAACTTTATAAACGTGTTACACCCCTGAAACGGGAGAAAGAATCACGAAAGTGATTTGTGGGTGACGGTGGCACAGGAGTTAAGTGCTCGTCCCGTAATCGGAAGGTTGCAGGTTCGAGTCCCGCTCAGTCTGTCGCTGTCGTTGTGTCCTTGGGCAAGACACTTAACCCACGTTGCCTGCTGCTGGTGGTCGGAGGGACCGGTGGCGCCAGTGCTCGGCAGCCTCGCCTCTGTCAGTGCGCCCCAGGGCAGCTGTGGCTACATTGTAGCTCATCCCCACCAGTGTGTGAATGTGTGTGTGAATGGATGAATGACTGATTGTGTTATAAAGCGCCTTGGGGGTTCCAGGACTCTAGAAGGCGCTATATCAAATACAGGCCATTTACCATTTTACCATTTGTGGGCTGCTTCTCTCATGCAGTCGTTTAATGCAATGAGGAGCGAGCGCGCCGTTTTCCCCCTAGTGGAAGGCTAAGTCACTACTAATCGATCACAGATAAGACTTGTTAGTCGATGGCCGATACACAATTCACTATTATTAACTAAAATGACTCTAACATGAAATATTAGCTTTTAAACAGTAATGTTAATATATTTACATTGGTCTGTTTTTAATCCATATGAACTGCTATGAATTCACGTTCACTGTGAAGCATTGGTACTGTAAAATGTGCATTTCTTACCACACTATTGTTCAAATGAAATCAGTCTTATAACAAATAACGAACAGTCACTGGATCCTCCTTGGAGCTGCATAGAGGGTTATGAAAGCAGTCTTTTAGCCTATCACAAATGCACGTCTAATCGTGCTGC